GTTTGTTTGGCAAAAAGACCTGGACGCTTTATACATACATCGGTTTTTGTAAACATGGGCTAGGATTAAGAGTTTAGTCCCTTTTCGACCCTGTTTTGTCTCGACGAAATGGGGCATAATTAAGCAACGGAAAACTTCATACGATACGTAATGAGGGAAATATATTTAGGTCCGTGTTCTATATTTTGGACTTTGGAAAATATTATATTATAGCAGAGGACCGATAAATTCGAAAATGAAAGGCTACAGTTAAGCCCTTTCAAGTATTTATTTGACGGGAACGAAGTGGATACATATTTTTTTTGTGGTCTTCCCATGGGTAAGTCTTGAAAGCTATGGGATTTGAAGTAGAGGACCTAGGTTTTATACTTGCCTAGAGATTTGTAATGAATTCTATATACAATAACGATGTGTTATATGCTTATTATAGTATGTTATTAATCTAATATCATGTATTTCGGTCTGATAATTACTAGCTAATTATTATTACATGGAAAAGCTAATTACCCTGCCTCAAAATTCGCAGCAGAAACAGAAATCTGGCGTTCCCATCTATAGTTAACGATATTAGCCGCGGTAAACATCAAATTAAGCTCTATGTACATTTTAACAATACATGCCCGAGGCCGCTCGACATGTTCAAATATTTACACGCTTTGTATGTTCTATATGACTGCACCAGGTTTTACGAGATGCAAGTCCAAAATGCTTTTGTTTCATATGACCGTGTTTACCTGCATGTTTCTACTGAACACTTTCTATTTAACTAAATCGGAACACTTACGATCTGTATGTTGAACACATATTGCGGTAATAACGGTCTCATGATGATTTATTTGGGAAACAGGGTACAACCGCCAATATCTCCAAACGAGTAGAGTGGGAATTTTCAAAAATTATTTGAAAGTAGAGGGAAAATGATGTATAACTAACCATGACCTCGATTCTTATGATGTTGCTATCTTGATATAAGTGTCAATGTTTGAAAATCCATAACAAAAGTATTTTCTTTCATGTTTGTTTTTTTGGTTGTGAGCGCTGTTGTTTAGTTTACGAGACCTCAATATAATTTTTAAGTCTGCTCGTTAATTACTACTACATAAGATGTATTGTTAATTTTAGGTTAGTTTCAACGGTTTTTTATATAACTCATATAAAAGATTACATGTGGGTGAGGTAAAACGCCCATAAGAACCTTTATGCTGACAAAGGTGTAAATAATAAAAAAATAGTAAACAAAAGTTTAAAGGGACGTATTCTGCCATGAAATAGACCAATGTTATGGTAAGGTTTGGTTTGGTACTAAAAATCTGACAAAAAGCCATGTGGTTTCTGTGCAGTCAGGCGTTTAAGATATGAAAACCTAACCTAGAAAACGCACAAATATCA